TTTTTTTAGAAGCCCTGTTGCAAAAATAGACAGGCAAGGGGGTGTGCGCAGAGAAGCACTGACAGCCAACAAATAATAAATAGCCTATCTGTGGCTTGCTACATACCTAATGATGGTTATAAACTGTGTCATAGTTAACTCTTGTGGTACAAGAAACTTTGTTTTGTCCAACAGGGGGAGGTATTTTTCTTTCTGATATCTTTCAACAATTACCTGATTCAAAGAAGAAGAAGAAAGCACAACATGTTTAAAAGCAATGTAACATGCTACCAGTGGAAGCATCTACTACTATCAGCAGGAGACAATCCTAAACAGATTTCTTGTTATCTACAGAACGTAATGAAGTCAGTGATACCACTGGCCAAAAAAACCTGCCGTGAGTCAGGTACACTTAAAAAAAAAACACACACACACCAGAAATTAGGCAAATGTTAGGGATATTTAGCAGAGAAGAGAACTGAATGAAGAGAGGCTTACTGGAACTTTTGTCGGGAACTTCCCACGAATGCCTGCTACTTCTTCCACTCGGGTAGCTGGGGGAAAAAAAGACAAGAAGAGCCATTAGTTTTCACTTCACGGGGGGCGTTGAGGTGAAAAACCTCGAGTCCCCAGGCAGCAGGTAGCGGGATTTCAAACGGTCAGCCCTGCAAAGCCGAGCTGCCTCCACGGAGGTCAGATCCCCGAGAGGTTTTCCTTTTCTCCCTTCCCAAAGAGCGGTGGAAAGGCCGAGCGCCCGGCTGTGTTTTCAGCAACCCCCGTTCCTGATCCCAGAGCAGTCGTTCGTCCCACGGAGATAAGCGTGGATTTCCTCCAGAATCCAAAGGGGGAAATAAACCGCCTGATTTCCCAAGCAATCGCGACGTACGTCGTAGGGTAAGCCCGCTTCCCGCCGCTTACCAAAACTTTTCCTCTGCTTAAACGGCCTGACGGGCTGGCAGTTATGCTGTAAAGGTTGCATTTTCCTCCCCGCTTTGCGAAGAGCCTGCTTAGAAAAAACAAAAACAAAAAACAGCCGCTTCGGGCCCCGCGACAGCTGCGCTCCGACTGTACAGCCGGAGCAGAAGAGAGCCCCCTTTTTAACGACCGGCTTGCGACATCCACGTCACTCTTTGCCCCGAGGCGTCGCGCCCCCTCCCCCCCCCCTTTCCCCCCCCCCCGCGGGCGGTCGCGAACGGTCTGGCCGAGTCCCAAACGGGAAAAGTGGGTGTTGGAAATAATTTTTTTTAAAAAAAGACGCTCGGGACACGTGGATCTGCTGGCTGGCAAGTCACATCCTTTCTCTGGTCCAGGGTAGCCCACGCGCAATCTTCATATCCCTGCGGAGCTTGGAAGAATTCTGTGGAAGAATTCGCTAATAAGAACAGTTTGCCGTTGTGATTTTTTTTTTTTCCTGGAGGATCTCTAGACTGTTTTTCCTTGCCGTGGGAACGGTTCCTTGGCCACTCTGCTGCCGGGAAGTACTTTCTGGTGAGGTAAACATCAAGATGAGCGCCTGACCCCATTGAGATGGGTTGACCGTATGACTTCCCTCTCTAGTTACAGTGGGGTAAATCAGCTGTTGGGGAATTGATGGTGACTTTAGTCCAGGGGTGTCCAACCTTGGCAACTTTATGATTTGTGGACTTCAACTCCCAGAATTCCTCAGCCAGCGCATGCTGGCTGAGGAATTCTGGGTGTTGAAGTCCACAAGTTTGTAAAGGTGCCAAGGTTGGAGACCCCTGCTTGAGTCAGTTCATCGGCAGGAATGCTAGGATGGCACCCAGAGTATCTGTTGCTGTTGACAGGCAAAACCATTTCCACCCATTTTCCAACTTTGGACGGACTAAGTGGACGGACTTACCTGTGTAATAGTCTGTCACACAGATACAGCTGGGTAACCTGGGGGTCATAAAAATAACATTTATTTTAAAGGAAATCGCTATTTATCTCTCAGGGTTCCTGTCGGAGCTGTATTGTTGGGGGGGGGCTGTAATTTCATCTGTTGCGGCTGCAGTCCTAGCAGCATTGCTAAAATTCGGGTTAATTATAGCCCTTGTTCTGCTCTGAGGAAAGCCTCCTTGAGTTTAGTTTAGTTTAGTTTAGTTTATTTGATTTGTATACCGCCCTACTCCCGAAGGACTCAGGGCGGTGAACAGCCAAACAATAAAATACATAAATACAAAAAATTTAAAAACCAGATAAAATCAAATTAAATCATTTTAGCCCGGACAAATTAAAACGCCCCAATAATTTAAAAACAGATTAAAATTTACATATTAAAAGAGGGAGGAGATTAGGCCAAGCCTGCTTGATGGAATAAAAAGGTCTTCACAGCGCGGCGGAAGGTGCGCAGATCCGGGATCCTCTGTATCTCTGGGGGGAGCTCATTCCAGACGGTAGGTGCCCCCACAGAGAAGGCTCTCCCCCTAGGGGTCGCCAGCCGACACTGTTTGGCTGACGGCACCCAGAGGAGTCCCTCTCTATGAAAGCGTACTGGCCGGTGGGAGGCTATTGGTGGTAGTAGGCGGTCCCGTAGATAACCAGGTCCTAAGCTATGGAGCGCTTTAAAGGTGGTAACCAAAACCTTGAAGCGCACCCGGAAGACCACCGGGAGCCAGTGCAGCTCGCGTAGGAGAGGTGTCACATGGGAGCGCCATGACGCTCCCATTACCACCCGTGCGGCCGCACTCTGTGCCAGTTGGAGCCTCCAGGTGCTCCTCAAGGGGAGCCCCATGTAGAGAGCATTACAATAGTCCAGGCGGGAGGTGACGAGGGCATGAGTGACCATGCGTAACGAGTCCCGATCCAGAAAGGGACGCAACTGGCGAATCAGGCGAACCTGATAAAAAATCCCACGGTCACGGCCGTCAAGTGCTCTTCTAAAGACAGCCGTGAATCCAGGAGGACGCCCAAGTTGCGAGCCCTCTCCGTGGGGGCCAATGATTCGCCGCCAATAGTCAGTGATGGCGTCAACTGACTATATCGGGACGTCGGAAACCATAGCCACTCGGTCTTGGATGGGTTGAGCCTGAGCCTGTTCCTCCCCATCCAGATCCGTATGGCCTCCAGGCACCGGGACATCACTTCAAGGGCATCGTTGGGGTGATCCGGGGTGGAGATGTACAGCTGGGTGTCGTCAGCGTACTGATGGTACTCCACCCCGAAACCACGGATGATCTCGCCCAGTGGCTTCACATAAATGTTGAACAGGAGAGGCGAGAGGACCGACCCTTGCGGCACCCCACATATGAGGGGCCTCGGAGTCTACCTCTGCCCCCCTGTCAACACAGACTGCGACCGGTCAGAGAGAAAGGAGGAGAACCACCGCAACACAGTGCCTCCCACCCCTAACTCTTCCAACCGGTGCAGCATGATACCATGGTCGATGGTATCAAAAGCTGCTGAGAGATCTAACAGGACCAGGACAGAGGAGCACCCCCTGTCCCGAGCCCTCCAGAGATCATCAACCAACGTGACCAATGCCGTTTCCGTGCTGTACCCGGGCCTGAAGCCCGACTGGAACGGATCCAGATACGTCGTTTCATCCAGGTGCTGGGGGAGCTGTTGCGCGACCACACTCTCAACAACCTTCGCCACAAAACGAAGGTTGGAGACCGGACGATAATTTACCAACATTGCCGGGTCCAGGGAAGGCTTCTTGAGGAGAGGCCTCACCACCGCCTCTTTCAAGGTGACAGGAAAGACACCCTCACCCAACGAAGCATTTATAATCCCTTGGAACCAGCCTCGTGTCACCTCCCGAGAAGCCAGCATTAACCAGGAGGGACACGGGTCCAATAAACAAGTGGTCGCGTTCAGTCTACCCAGAATTCTGTCCACGTCCTCAGGGGTCACAGGATCAAACTCATCCCAGATAACATTCTCAAGACCTGCCCCAGTCCCTTCCCCTGAGACTACCCAGTCGGAGTCCAGATCTTCCCGAATCTGAGTGATTTTGTCATACAGATATTGAACAAAATCCTCGGCTCTACCCTCCAAGGGGTCCTGCCGCGCTTCCTGGTGGAGCAGGGAGCAGGTCACCCTAAACAGGGCGGCCGGGCGATTATCTGATGACGCAATAAGAGCAGCAAAGTAGCTACATTTCGCTGCTTTTATCGCCACTAGGTAATTCCTAATATGAGATCTTACCGGTGTCCGGTCAGATTCAGAACGACTGGCCCTCCAACTACTCTCTAGGCGTCTTTTCTGGCGCTTCAACTCCCTCAGCTCCTCAGTGAACCAAGGAGCTAAATGAGATCGGCGCCGGGTCAGAGGCCACAAAGGCACGAGTCCAGTGGCATAGCAGATAAATACAGGATTATTGCATCCTTAATCATGGAAAGTTGTTGATAAGCAGGTAATTGGCCCTTTCATTACCGGGTAAGTTTTGCCAGATGTTAGCCAATCTTCAATTTCACCTCCTTACAGTATGTTGTTAAAGTTCTGGCAACGAATGGCTGTAGACTAGACCATGGGTCTGCAACCTTAAACACTCAAAGAGCCATTTGGACCCATTTCCCACAGAAAAGAAAACACCAGGAGCCACAAAACCCTTCCCGTGCCTGACTATTTCTTGAGCGGCCACAAAACTAGCATACTGCATGTAGTTGAATTAAACATTCTGTTTTCTACTGAAACTTTTCTTTTCTTGGATTTATCCATGGTTGGCCTACCGGGGGTTGAAAAACTCAATAAATCACGTGTCAGCAGGTGTCACACATTGGCGGTTGGGACGCATATTTTGAGTGACGGAGCCGCAGCAGAGGGGTGAAAGAGCCACATGCGGCTCCAGAGCTGCAGGTTGCTGACCCCTGGACTAGACCGATGTTTCAACCAAAAATCATGAGGTTCATCTTCACCTAGTGCTGACCAGTTCTTGATTTCCCTTGTCCCTTTCTCCACCATTTCTGCTGTTATTGCAAGTTCTCTCATTTCAACTTTTTAAAAAAAATTCTTATCCACTTCCTTTATCCAAACTTCTTGTTGTATTTCTTTGGGTTATCCCACAGCTGTACCCAGAATGCAGTTTTTCCCGCTCTCTGGCAGGTGTTGACCGGTTCAGTACAGTATCTCCATTGATGGATTGATAGAGATGTTCTGATTCAACTGAATTTGGAGATTCTGCCTGTAGTGTGCAATTCGAGGTTTGTAATTGCTAATCTTTTGGTTATAGTTGTTATTTCTTGTCTTATTATCTGGTCCCATCAGAAGCTCATGAGAGAGTTGGCCTAATCTTATGAAAATGGAAAGGTGAAATAGGTGTAGGTGTAGACTGGGTGTATGTTTAAATATGGCATTCAGATCCTGATAATTGGTCCATGGGCCATATCAGTTAACACAGAGACAGAGTCGAATATTGTAGCATCTCATAAGGTAAAAGCTGAGAAAAAAACAGTATTTTCCCAGTTTGCCTATCTGAAACCTACCCTAATGATAGGAATAGAACTGCAAGAAAACCGTGTTCCCAACCGTCAATTCTTGAAAGTGGTCCAGATGGCTTCAGAAGATGTTGAAATATATGCAAGCACAGCAGAGACAAATTACCAAATTGTACCCTCTACTAGACCATCCATCAAAGCAACTAAAACTGGCCCTGAAACAGCTGTAGATCAAGTTCATCTAGAGATGCTTGGAGTTGTTCTATCAACAATTCTGTTGGCTGGAGCTTAGAACAGCAGATGGGTTTTATTTGGCTTTGGCAACACTATAGCAGAATTAAAGCATCTTGCTTCTTAAGGTTCATCATAGAGCTTCTTATTTTGAGAAATAATGCAGTTTGCTGTTTTGTCAGAAATGCATAACGATAACATATATCATATATGCATACATACCACACAAGGAATGGTAAATCTCATGGAAATCAATGAGTCAACCTGAATGCTTACTTTCAATTTTGGCATTCAAATTGCCAAAATTATTTATTTATTTCTGAAGAATATAACTAATTGTATGTTGCCTTTTGTGATCTTACAGATACGCTGAACAGCAACTCCCATTGCCTGAATTAGAATTGGAATTGTAGTATAGTTTCAGGAAGGCCAACTTTCAGTCTTGGGTTGATGTTCTTTTTCTTTTATTTATTCAAGTGTATGCCATGCTATATAACAGAGATGGCTAACCTTTTTGCCATCGCGTGCCAGGAGGAGGGGCGGGGGAGGTTCGTGCGCACGCGTGCCCACACCCATAATTCTATGCGCCTCGCCCTGCACATGCACGGGTAACCCCCCCCACTCCTGGCCCGCGATGGCCCAGTAGGCCTGTTTTTCTTTCTCACCTGGTTCCAGATCCTCTCTGTGCATCTGGGGAAGGCGAAAACAGCCTTCCCCACTCCCTCGGAGGCCCTCCAAAGGCCTGAAATGGCCCATTTCCTAACTGTCAGTGAGACAGGAAGTGATGTTTTTTTGCTGTCCCCCAACCTCCCCGGGCCCTCCGGAGGCAGGAAACAGCCTGTTTCCCTACTTCTGGTGGGCTCACAAAGCCCAAAAATCAGCTGGCCGGTGCGTGCATGCGCACCAGAGCTGAGCTGGCGTGCCCACTGATATGGCTACACATGCCACGTGTGGCACGCATGCCATAGGTTCGCCATCACTGCCATATAACTTCATGGCACTTTCCTGAGTTGAAGAATTCCATTCCTTATATTTCTTTCAGCCCCTTTTACTTTCTGTCTCTACATCTGTCTCACTGTTGCATTAGTGTTTCCTGTTCAACTGATCTTACCATTTGAAACATCCTCTCTCTTGTGGTGCTTTCTTTCTTGGAACCTCTCTCAAACCATTTGTAGTCATAGAAGCAACCCAGGATTATTTTTCCACACAAAGAATTTGATACTTTTTCAGGAATGGGCAGGTTATGCCATCACTCCACTTATCAGACTGGGTGTTGAATTACATGATGTAATTACTTAAAAATGTGTCTTGCATGCACACAGTACTGAACAAAATGTTCCACAGAGATTTTCTGGAAGGCAACATTTCTAGTCTAGCAATCTTTTCCAAACTTGTAATAGCAAAATAGGAAGTTTAACTGGCATTGGCTTGAAGAACTCAAGATTGTATGGATACGTTCTTCACCGGGAGACCCGGAGAGCTTCTCAGTCTTTGGAAGTGTATGACAAATATTATGGGAAGCACTGAAGGTATGAAATAATGATGTATCTTCCTGGATGCAGCAGAATTTATTATAGGGGATTGAGGGTGATGAGAAATATATGAGACGAACTTTTTGATCTTCTTCAGAAACAAAACAATAATAAAGCCAGTCAGCTGGAGGGGATGTTCCTAATATACCATCATTCCATGGGTTTCATTTCCACGTTTTCCCTGTCCTTCCCAAGATATAGGACTGAACACAAGAACAGTTCATTGTGATCAGGCCAATTCTTGTAACAATTCAATAACAATTCAAGAATAGTTATGAATTGATGGCAGACCTATTGATCACTGAACTGAATCCACTTCCTCAATACCATTCCCAACAGACCTCTCCCCTTTTAAACTAGTTGCAGTCATCTCATCATTTGCCAGGCTAGAGAGCACTGCAACAGCAGAGCAAGATCATAACTCTGTTGAGGACTTTGAAAAGGATAGGTTGGATTGGAGCCTTTTGTTCTAATGTTGAGGTCATTTATTTTCCTAAATAGCCCAACTCTTCTCTGGAGTTTTGGTTTCATCCACACTGGAGGCACATCACTACTTTTCGAGGGGCAATGGTCTACCTTTTTTTTCTTAGTTGCGTCTGAAGATACAAATGGTGGACCCTTTGCAATGACCTGCAAATCTTGTGAAATGTAATTAGGGCAATAGCAATAGCACTTAGACTTACATACCACTTCACAGTGCTTTACAGCCCTCTCTAAGAGGTTTACAGAGTCAGCCTATTGCCCGCAACAATCTGGGTCCTCATTTTACTGGCCTCGGAATGGTGGAAGGCTGAGTCAACCTAGAGCCTGGTGAGATTCGAACTGCCAAATTGCCGTCAGCCAGCAGTCAGCAGAAGTAGCCTGCAGTACTGCACCCCAACCACTGTGCCACCACAGCTCTTATAATAGGAGTATGTGTGATAAAAACAGAAGATGGTCATTCACTTTTTTTATAAATTGTCTGTCACCTACAATTTGGCTAAGTCATCAAATCATACAACTGTTTGTTTGTTTGTTGTTTGACCAGAAATTAGCAGCAGTTCAGAAATAGACTGAGAGCCACATAGAAACCTTTCATGATTCCCTGGCTCTAGGTTGTTCATCTGGATCTGTGGCAGGAACAGGCACCAGACTGGGATGGATGATCACAAGTGTCATCTGAACCATCTAGATATGAATTAGGGATTTTACAAAATAAAACAACAAGTATTTATTTGAAATCAGCAAATTCACTTTCAGGAATAAAAATTCAGGTGCATACAGTATATGAGTATGACAAAGGGATTTTGTATGTAAAAGAAAAGAAAAAGAAGTTACCCAAACTGACAAATGTTGATCTGATAAAGGGAACAGTTATCTTCTGGAATTCTTACATTCCGTTTTTTATGAGCTACATGTTTACAACCTACAGAAAGCAAATATTGCAGACATCTCATATCTTCAACACAATCATATGATAATTATTGAACTTAATGTTTCTGCCCTTGGAAACAGAATCTGTTTGATGCTTGCATATGAGAGACTAGTCTTGCTGATGATAAGACATGTTTAGATCTTGTCAGAAAGCTTCATGTTTTTCTGTCTCTTTTTTTTCCTTTCAATAGCTCATAACAACAACTTTCGCATTCTGCATAGTAGCCTTTTGAGCAAAAAGAAACAACTTTCTGAAAGAATACTTATTTCACTCATTCGTATTTCACTCTATTCACTCTTGTGTTTGGATGATATTACTTTCTAAAACAATTTACAATTTCAATCCATTCAAAAAAGTTCTGGAAATAATGGAAAATAGAGGAGTTCTTGCTGTTGCTTCTGTTGCCTTGTGACAATGGTAATAGGAGTGGACTCCCTCTTCTCCAGGGGCACAGAATAGTAAGCATGCCAACACAAGAAACTGTCTGATGAACAGCTCCATAACTAAATGACAATGTAAGCCAGGACACTGGTTACCACATCACATGGGGACTCCAATTAACTAGAATTAGTTTAATAATACAAAATTAGCAGAGAAGCAGAAGGGCCTAACTGAACATTATGAATATCTGTGAAGCTCAGGTGCCACACTATCTCATGAGCTTCACAAGTATTCATAATGTTCAAGTTAGGCCCTTCTGTCCACCCACAGTTTGTGCCTTTTCCAAGGGGCTCATGTATTTCCTTCCAGAGACACCCTGACCTTAGAAAGCATGATAAATATGTTAGTATTTAATGCAAGATCTTTGTAAAGCTTTTAAAGGGAATAAGCTGGTGGATAAATACCTATTCCTAACTATCGAACTTGCAACTGTTTCCTTCACCTCTACCATAAAGAAATTAGTCAATATGACCTGCCCCTGACTTGTGTATCTGTGTGTCCAGTGCCTGAATTGTGTGTGAGGATAACCTTTCTCCTTCTTTTTTCTGCCTATAGATACAACAGCAAGGTCAGTTCAAGGATAGTTAAGTGAAAGAATTTTTTTTTTTGCAATATTTAAATGTTTTCCAGGTAAATCAGATATCTCCATGACACAGTTCTATTTCTATCATCTGTCTATCATCTATTATCTGTCTGTCTGTCTGTCTATCATCTATATCTATCTCAATCTAATCTAATCTAATCTAATCTAATCTATCATCTACTGTCTTTGCAATCATTTTACCAAAATGTGGAAACAGTTGAATAAGTTTTGAATAAGCACTTGTGTCATCTAAATGTTATCTAAAGCATTTAGCTATCAGGATCTGAGGATTTCCCAAGAGTTAAATTGAGTTGAGGCTTTGGTTTTTTCCTAAGGTTTGGGTTGACTTTTTATACAGTCTTTAGTCCCTAAAGCTTATTTTACCTGCATTTGGGAAAGATCACAAAGTAGGAAAAACATGCCAGACATTATTTCTGGATTCTTTCCAACCAGTTAGTGTTTGTCTGAATGTGCCCATTGGGAAGTATAGGATGGCTGGGTACCCTCCCCTGTGGATCTGATTATGGCAAGAGGCAGAGGAGAGGAGAGAAGGAAGCTTAGAAAAGAACAGTTGCCACCGTAAGGATGAACAAGGAATATTTTTCTTGAAATGTTTTTCTTCCCAGCCTGATGCAGCCCACTTTCAAATTCAATCTTCCTCTTTCCCTATCTGTATGATTTAAAGACATTTATTAGACTGACAGAAGCACAATACTATCAATATCATTTCTTTCCAACAGCCCATTGGTTGGAAAGAGTAAAAAAAGGAGTTTATTGTATAAAAGGAAATATAGGGGAAATAAAGGAATGTTACTATGGAGAAATCTAGATGAAATGACACAACTTTCCGATAAAATCAATTCAGTCGGTCTCTATTAAGTTTTAGCACATGTTAATTGCAGAGAGGATTCTGGGAGAGCTATCATCTGGTTTTCCTACTTAGATATTCATAGTTAAACTTCATTTTCCTTCCTTTTTTAACTAACATTTTGTAATGTTTGGTTTTTCTAATAATTATGTAGTTACTCTGCCCCAAGACCATTCTAACTGTCCTCCTCTAGAACTGTTTCTAGTTTTCATTTTTGCAAGATTGAAAGCAAAGCTGGATAAAGTATTCCAACTGCAGAAAGAATGAGAACATCAACCATTTTTAGTCTCTTTCCTAATAATCCCTAACAGGAATTTTCCTTTTACATAATGTCTGTGTGCGGCATCTGTGGTTTCCTCAAGTAATCCTGTGCAGTCCCAAGGCTTCATTCCAGTTAGATGATGCCAGCTTATCAGCGAAGGAAAAAAATCCCCCACCTTATTCATGTAATTATGTGATTCATCTATGAAACTCTTTTAGGAAAATAGTTTTGTCAGTTTTGATTGTTTCCCCTTTGATCCCTCCCCACACAAGTAATTTCATAAAACTTGGCCAAAGATTATTATCATGAATGCTGTGTAATAAAGATCTGCTGTTGTGTCAAAAAGATATCTAGAGAACCCCAATGTGGACAAAGTCAACAACACATTTTAAAAAGTAGTTGACCATTACAACTATAGCAATGATAGCATGGAATTAATATCCAACTGAAAAGTAAACAAATATGCAGCTATTTTAACCTCTTTAAGAAAGTTCCATAGTTGGGATGTTACCCATTCTTCAAAAATCCCTTTGACATGTCTTATATTGCAATCATAATGTAACCTGTCTGAGATTCTGGGTCTCAGATACACAGTTTTGGAACTACCTTTTCTTTTGTATGTTACGTGTTCTATCGTTACACAGGAAGTGGATACATTTCTGTCATAGAATGGGAATGTGTTCTATTCTCAGAACAACATGGGCACAAAGGGAAGTGAGGCAGGAAACAGTTAACAGATCTTTATTAACTAACAAGGACAATCAACAACTGTCTCGCTCAAGTGCTAACTACGTGAGCACTCTTTTACTGTATATGGGAGCTGTCAGCAGCTCAGCCAATCCGTGAGTTCTGCTCTCCCGCCAGTTGCTTGCCGGCTGGAGGACCAATCAACTATGCCTCTTCGTCATGCGCATGACGGCAGGACATAACAGAATGCTTATAATAAATACTTAACTTTTTTACTAGGTCCAAATAATGTTTCGAATTTCCAGTTCTTTTATAAGCTCAATATTGGGGGTTTTCCCCTAAAATCAAATTTTGCTCTTCTGAAATTGAACTCCAGTAACTTTGCTGAGTGTAGATATGTTCCAATCCAAAGACTTTATGTGCACAATATTGTTAAGTTGTTAAATCTCTCCAGAACTTCTCATGTTGTTGTCTGAAAACAGTATTTTCTTGTCTGTTTCTACTCATACATGTGATTGTTTATTATCCCTATCATAATAGCTGAACAAAGAGGCTGGAAAAGCTGAACTTGTTGATAGCTGCTGTGATAGAACTAATATTTGGGCCCTTTTCAAGGTTTTATACATAAAACTATATCCCTTCTCATCCATGTAATTGGATGAGTATTACAAAAATACTCATCCAATTACAGAGATGAATGGATTGTAAAGTATTACAATCCATTCATCTCTGGATCCTACTGCAGTAACTCAGATTACTATGATTGTAAGATGCTAGTTCCTGTTTTCAGTGAAGCTTAAATGCAGCTCATATTTTTCTTGTCTTCTCCTCACTCAGCTGTTTTTCTACTTGGAGAGAGATACTTTTAGCAAGAGAAAAATATTCAAAATATGCAATATATGCATATTCAAAATACAGTCCCTCTTTATCAGAAATGATCCATTGCACTAAGGATAATGGCGATGTCCTTGCCCATTGTCTCTCATGTCTCTCTAACAGCATTGCCAGAGAATGTGAGTGTATGTATTTATATGCCACATGTACACACATGCATATGTACATGCATATGCATATGTATATTTTAGGTTTTTTGTTTTCAATCAAACCCAATTCCTGGAAGCTACCTGGACAAGTCTCTGCAGTGTTTTTGGCAAGGTTTTTCAGGAGTAGCTTGCCATTGCTGCTTTCCAGGGCTGAGATAAAGTGACTGGCCTTGTGGCTTTGGGCCTAAGGCGGGCGTAGAACTCATGGTCTCCCAGTTTCTAGCCTGATAACTTTTAAACTTTTTTTCTAAAAAAATCTTCTATTGCTTTTTTAAAATAATGGCAAAAAAAGGAGAGAAAAACAAAACACAAAGGTAAAAATATATACATTCCAAACCTTAGACCATATTCCCATATGAAAGGATTCCCATATGAGGTATCAGAATATGGTTAGATCAATACCATAAAACAGTTTTACAATCATAATTTGATTTTTTAATATTACGGTATCTCAGTAAAAAAAAAAAAAGCTTCTCATCAATCACAAGAGACTCTCCATTTTAAATATTTTTTTTGTTTTGTTTAGGGTCTGCTGACAGTTGTTGTGCAGTTGGAAATCTAACAGATGAACTATTTTCCTGAGTAGAAGGAGCTGGTTTATTGAAATGGCTGTCCTTGTTGCCCCAGTGAGCAATCAGGGAAGATGTGAAAATTCTTGTTGTCTGAATCTTCTTTCCAATGAAATTGGTGAGATACCGATACAGGAATATACTGCTAGATTGTATTACTTGTTGAAATGAACAATATAAATTCCTCACCATTTTTCAACACATAGCACTTGTCAGAATCAATAGAACAATTATTAGGCTCATTCCCATGTCAAGATGGGAGTTGTGATTGCATGATTGAAGTCTCACCTCTTTTAACATGCATCACATACTCAACCAATGTAAAAAAAAAAAAAGGAGCAAGGCTTTGATAGGTATAATCACCATCTTGACTTTTTTTTCTGACACCCTATGGACACCCATCTTCAAATCAGAACATAACTTCTAAACCTAAGAGCCATAAAAGTAGAATTCTATAGACAGGTTGATCTATATCCCTCTTATCTTTACTTTATTTTTCTTAAATAACATTGTTCCGAACAAATCAACATATACTACTTTTAAAGAGATCTTTTCCCCCCAATTTTTGCTTACTTCACTAAATGACTCTGAGAAATTTCACAACATATTGCCACATTGTATTTGTGTAAAAATAGGAGGGATCTGGCCAACACCATTGTTTCAGGTTAGTAGGACTTCTATAAAGTATAAAAGAACCAGATTAGAGCAGCTAAATATTTAACTAAGAGTTTACTTTCAGGTGGACGTCAGCAAAGACAAAATAACCATGACCGTACTCTTTTGCCTAAATAGAGTTGATTGCATTGTTTGGACATTTAGACCATGCAGTTGTAAATACCAGAGTGGACAACTTGAAATTATTTGCTTTGGACATTTATGGATGAAAAACGTACATTTTCTGATCAATGATTAATTACCATTAATTGGAAAGAATCATATAAAACTTTGTGCTATTAATTGCCCTATAATTAGAGTTGCTCCTGACTAAATTGTCCCTTTGATCCACCCTTATTAAATTTTGAGATTATTCTTCATGTAAATGCTAGAGAACCTGACCATTCCAGAAAAATACTGCATATTAATCAGAGTTGGATCTGGTTAATATTTGGATGGAAGACCACCAGGAAGTACTATAATTGCAGGGTAGATTGAGAAGATTTTTTTTTTAAATCCTGAAGAAGGCCAAGGACATGCCATTTCTATATTATTGTCAAAGAAACAATATGATGTCATAATGAAGTCACCAGAGATTAAGCTATTATAACAAGAACAAATAATTACCTTTGTCATGTGAAGAATCAAAAGGGATTGATTCATACTGAATATAATCAATTCGATGCTAGGCCTGTTGCTACATACCTTATATCTAGGTCATATTATCTGCAGCACCACACACTAGAGAACCCCATCTTGGAGAGGTTATTTTGGATTAGCAGTGGTGGAATTAGAACAATGTCTGTGGGGATTCTCATTCATTCAAGTCATGGTTGATCCATAGGTGCTTTTTCAAGAGGCAATTGGACTTCCTTGTTTTTCTTTGAAGATATTTTGCTTCTCACCCAAGAAGCGTCTTCAGCTCTGACTGGATTCCATTCCCTTCCATCCAGTCAGAGCTGAAGAAGCTTCTTGGATGAGAAGCGAAACATCTTCAAAGAAAAATAAGAAAGTCCAGTTGTCTCTTGAAAAGGCACCTTTGGAGTCAAAATAATTGATTAAACCTAACATTCCCCCGTTTTGATTTAATTTTATTGGATGCATGCAAAGCCTCAGATCCTCAACTGTAGCACTGGACAGCAACAGGTTTAAGTGAACTTAATTGTATAGTTGCCATTTTCATCCAGGCCTTTAAAATAAGATGGCAGTAATGCTAAAACCTATTTTCAAGTTCTATGTATTCTAGAGGCAAATGTGTTCAGTACTTGGATGCAGGGGTGGGTTCTAAAATTTTTTACTACAGGTTCTATAGGCGTGGCTTATTTTGTGGGCATGGCTTGATGGTCATGTGACAATTATTTAGGATTTAGCAGAGGTACTGGTCTACCAGGCTTTTAACTGCTTGCAGAGCTGTACCGAGCTACCCATTTATTTTTGCAGGCACTGATCTACTCATGTATTTTTGCAGGCAATGCTCTACTCATGTATTTTTGCAGGCACTGATCTACTCATTTATTTTTGCAGGCACTGGTCTACCCATTCCTTTTTGCAGGCACCAGTCTACTCATTTGTTTTATTTTAACACTGATCAGCCCTTTGAAGCCCCATGGCAAGACTTTAAACAGTTTTTTTCCCTCTAGCCATCAGCTGGGACTCAGGAGGCAGCAAAGAGGTAAGAATAACACGGGGGGGCGGCGGGCGGGGGGGCAGAATTGGTTTGGTGACGTCATATCGTCACCGCTACCGGCTCAGCGGAACTGGGCGGAACCGGGAGGAACTCACCGCTGCTTGGATGGGTACAAAACAGCTCTGTTTGCCTGCCATATTTAATCATGACATAGTTTTTCCTGATACATATCTCAGAAGGTTCTCAATAATTTATTTTCCCATAATATGCCCCTCAGGATCTTTGATTTGCTAGACCTTTGAAGTGGTCCCAACAGGAAGCATGACAATAAATATTAGCTCTATCTGAATGTCATTTTTTTCCTGTCCACAGTAAAATGATAGTGAGCTTTCTTCTTCCCTTGCTGCAGATATTTTGAACATTTTTTTATTTCTAAGTTTGAGAAGATTCAAGAAGTGGAGGAATTATTTGGTCATGGTCCTTCTGTATCTCCTTTGGATTCATGTTCCCTTACTTTTTAAATTCCATATGGCTCTTAAGGAAATCATCCCTAAGACAATATTACCAGCCCCGATATTTTCTGTCCCCTTGATTCTTTTCCTTCTTTCATTTGCATGTCAATTTTTGTCATAGTGTCAGTTCTGTGTATCTGCCATTCTTCAGGGGAAGGGTTTTTTTTTTTAATTAGTTCTTTACTTATTACTTTCTTTCTTATATATCCTGTATTAGGGGTGAAATGCTCCTGGTTCGGACCGGATCACCTGATCCAGTAGCGATGGAGGCGGGTGCCTCGGAGAACCGGTAGCAAAAATCCCTGCCCCCCCCCCCCTGCCCGAGGGAGCTTTTTTTTCTTTTAAAACCTTTTTTTCTACAATCTCTTCGGCCGAAAAAATACTTTTAAAAGTAAAAAAAAAACCCCTCTGATGATTGTGCGACTTGGCTGGGATCGTCAGAGGCATTTAAAAGAAAAAAACCCTGTTTTTCTTTTAAATGCCTCTGACGATCCCAGCTGAGTTTTTAAAAAGCCTCTGCCAATCAGGCAACTCAGCTGGGATCGCCGAAGAGGTTGTAGAAAAAATGATTTTAAAAGTAAAAAAAAAAATTGGCCACGCCCACCCAGTCACATTACCCACCACCACCAAGCCACACCCACAGAACCAGTAGTAACAAATTTTAGATTTTACCACTGTCCTGTATCCTGCAATTTATTGATTTATAACTTCTAGCCTGGTGCCTAAGTGCCCTGGCATTTTCATACCTTTTGGGGAATGTGAAGGGAGGGAGGGCCATGTAGACTGCATCGCTCGAGAGCCAGCGGAGGATGACCCTGGGAAAGTTCCCTTATCACTTTTTCTTCGCACCTGTGGATTGGCTGAATCTATATTGGACTGTTGGGAGGGGTTTCTAATTCCTTTATTCTAACTGTATGGCCTGAGGGCCCTCAGAGCCTGCTTTCTTTTCACCCTGCTATCACCTCTATTCAATAAAAGGTTCTTTTTGAAATGCCAAGTTTCAAGAGTCTTTACTTTCTTGGATAAGGGGGAGAGGCCGGGCCTTACACATAGGCTGTTGGATTGTTGATGGACAATTCCCATTTCCCCTCAAGCATACTTGCACATGGCCATTATTAAAAAATACTCCAGTTGATCTCTTTGTATCCTCTGATTCTATTCTCTAATGTAAATGGGAGTGTTTGAGTGAAACTGACTAAAATCCTCCAGTCCATTCATAAAATCCATATTTAGGAGAAGAGAATTGAGATATTGTCTACTGTGTTTCCCCGAAAATAAGACCCTATCTTATATTTTTTTGAACCCTGAAATAAGCGCTTGGCCTTTTTGCCATGCGCTCAAAAGCCTGATTGGGCTTATTATCAGGGGATATCTTATTTTCGGGGAAACGGGGTAAATTAGGCAACAAATGATTCAGACGTATCCCTTCACTTTTTGTTACAAGCACTGCTAATCTTCTGTATAGCTCAACCCAGCACTTTCCAGTGTCTTCCCAATACTGCTTCCTCTACTTTCAGGTTCCATATTTTCAATTGATTAGAAAGAACATAATTCCCATTCTGAATGATGCAGGTATCCTTGCCTTACAGTAATTCATTCAGTGACCAAAATTACAACAGAAAAAGTGACTTTATCACCGGTTTTCACACTTAATGAGCATGGTAGCATCCCCACATTTACATAATCAGAATTTGGGCACTTGGCAACTGGCATGTACTTATGACAGTTGCGCTGTCCTAGGGTCATGAAATTACCATTTGTAACCTTCCCAGCTGGCTTCTGACAAGCAAACTCAATGTGGGGATCTGGATTCACTTAATGACTGCATGGTTCACTTAATAGTTGCAGTGATTTGCTTAACAACTGTGGCAAAAAGGTTGTAAAATGAGGAAAAACTCACTTAACAACTACTTTGCTTAGCAATAGAAATTTTAGTTTCAAATGTGGTGGTAACTCAAGGGATACTTGTATACAGTAAGTTTAGTAGTTAGTTTACCCTTGGCTCCTTAATTTATCTTTTTAATTTCATATTCTAATTATTCCAGTGTTATTTAGGCATAAGCCTTTGTTCTTTTTTTAGGTGACACAGAATGGAATTCATTGTTATTTTGCCCTGCGGTCACTTTGGCTTGAATACTATCACACAACTCTAAACATAACATCGAGAAAACACACATTATTGTTTTTTTATCCTAATCACCCTGTTATTTAATTGTTTACCTTCTAGTTTGTTTTTAGGGTTATCAACTGTCTGCGTACTTAGTTGTCATGGATCCGAGGAGTCTAATAGATGATAAGCTAAGATGAACCTATATATGAGGAGAGTGGTTTTTAAAATCCTGTACATTCCAGTTTAGGAATTGAGCCAGATGTGCTCATTCCTAACCTCTCAGATTGCCAAGTATTGGTTCGTGCCCTGATTATTTCACATCTGTATTATTGGTGCAGTTTGTTGGCTGGATTTCCTGCTTTGATTCTTCAAATACATTGACATATCATTCCACTGAGAAGAAGAAAAAACTCAGAGAGCAGCGTAGAAAACCACCATAGATGCATAAGAAGCTTTCCGTTGAGCTGAGTTTAAAGGTGCAAGTATAGGAAAAAGGAAGTGGGTTTAATCACCAAGGAGGTGAATCAACAAGAAGCCAGTTTCTGCAGAAAATCTATTAAGCTAATGTGCAAAAAGAACTTAGATTTGCATGGGAAGCTATCTAAGCTTCTTTGGTTATGTCAGTAGTAAGAGGTAGAAAAAGGGAGATGTAGGGTTGAAAAGATGGTAGGATAATAGCAAGGCACCAGGAGAAGACAGAACATTACAACTCCTCTTTTGCTCTAATCTTCTCTTCAAAGGAGTTTGATATTCAAATAGACCTAAACAGAACAATTGAATAAGGAGAAAGTAGCAAGCCAGATGTATAAAGAGATGGTGGGGTACATTTTGCTTGCAAGAATGAATTGAGGCCTTCAGATGTTCTCATCAGTTACATGAGAACACTGGTGTCCAGAGGGTGAGGGTAAAATCTGCAAAATGGTAGACATGATGTCCTGATCAAAGTATACCATTTTTCTACATATATTGTACGTCATCTTGTAGATTTTGAATTCCACCCCCCCCACACCCATGAATGCCCATGTCAGATAGTCTTGAATGAGGAGGTAGATGCTATTTCAGAGTTGCTTTCTGTGGGCTTTGAGAAATCACAGAGGATAAAGTTAATGAAGGAGGTTGAATGTCCTACCTTTAAATTGGGCATTCAACTTTTTTTTTGAGAGTGACCAATGTAGTTGGGAATAGAATGTAAAGTATTTGATTTCAGCAAAGCATCTGATAAGCCGACTTTTGAGATTCTAGCAGAGAAAATGACAAAAGATGGGCCAAACTAGACTATTATTAAATGAACAGAACGCAGATTAAGCCATCATACTCAGCAAAGATATATATATATATATAATTTTAAGTAGTTATTTAAAAGCTAAAAGAGCAACAACAGAAAAAAGAAAGAGAAAGAAGGAAAGAACATTAACAATTTGCCAAGTATAAAATTACAAAACATTTTTACCAATTTTGAAAGTGAAAAAAAATCCATTCTTATAAGTCACATGAATATGAAAAAATATATAAAGATAATCATAGAGCAGTTTAGCATTTCAGAATTATTAAGTCAGATGTTAACAAAACACTCCAAATAATAAAAATGGGCAGGAATATCTAATTAATCTGAAACAGTACATTCTTAACTTTATGGCTAATCAGATAAAGCTTTAAAATCTTATATCAAAATAAACCTGAAATTCAGATGTGATAAAAGTTATGTGCCAAAATATAGACCATAAATACTTTTCAAATTGAGTGGTAGTTAGCATCAGACTCATTTTTCAGATGTGAAGTTACTTTGACACTTATGCTCATCATAAAAATTAATACGTCAGTCATGTAGAGATTGAACACAATTTCCAACGAGAAGTGTAGATTTACAATGGTTATCATATATAAAAGCCTCTCAGCACAATTTGTAGACTTGGAGTAACAACTAGCAGAGAAGGAAAATAAATATTTAAGATTTGTTAGGTTTAGGTTTAGGTTTAGGTTTATTTGGATTTATATACCGCCCTTCTCCCGAAGGACTCAGGGCGGTGAACAGCCAAAGATAAAACACATACAATATAAAATTTAAAAAATAATTTAAAACATATTAAACAAATTTGGCCCATACTAATTAAAACACCCCTTTTTTAAAAAAGCAAATTAAAATTAAGCAATTAAAAAGAGTTAGGCCAGCCCAGCTTGTTGGAATAAAAAAGTCTTGAGGGCACAGCGGAAAGTGCGTAAATCTGGGATCCTCCGTATCTCCGGGGGGAGCTCGTTCCAAAGGGCAGGTGTCCCCACAGGGAAGGCTCTCCCCCTGGGGGCCGCCAGTCAACACTGTTTGACCGACAGCACCCTGAGGAGACCC